TATCTCACTAAGCATGATCTTTTCCATCTCCATCCAAGTTGCTGTGAAAGACATGTGTTTCTCTTTTTTGGTTGCTGAGTAATATTCCATTGTATATATGTACCACATCTTTTTATCTAGGCATCTACTTTTGGGCATTTGGGCTGCTTCCATGTTTTTTCAATTGTAAATAAAGCAGCAATAAACATGGGGGTGCAGGTATCTTTTTCAATCTGTTTTTGTGTCTTTTGGGTAGATCCCTAGGAGTGGGATTGCTGGGTCATAAGGAAGCTCCATGTTTAGCAGTTTGAGGAATCTCCAGGCAGTTTTCCACAGTGGTTGTACTAATTTGCATTCCCACCAGCAGTGCAGGAGAGTTCCTTTTTCTCCACATCCTCGCCAACATTGTTGTTGCTAGTTGTTTGAAGATGTGCCATTCTCACTGAGGTGAGGTGGTATCTCATTGTGGTTTTAATTTGCATCTCCTTATTACGAGTGATGTTGAACATTTTTTCATATGCTTGTTGGCCATCTGCATTTCCTCTTTGGAGTAGTGTCTTTTTAGCTCTTTTGCCCATTTTTTGATGGGGTTGTTTACTTTATTTTTGTTGAGTTTCATCAGTTCTCCATATATTTTTGTGATCAGTCCTTTATCACTACTTTTGTGTGAGAAAATGTTTTCCCAATTAGTGGGCTGTCTGTTTTTAGTAATGTCTCTTGCTGTACAGAAGCTCTTTAACTTGATGTAGTCCCATGTATTTATCTTTGCCTTCACTATTGTGGCGTTGGGTGCTCTGTCTTTAAAGATGTCGCTGAAGTGTATGTCGTGTAGTGTTCGACCCATCTTTGCTTCTAGGTATTTTATGCTTTCCGTTCTTATGTCTAGGTCTTTAATCCACTTCGAGTTGATTTTGTGACTGAAGTGAGGCAGTGATCTAGTTTCATTTTTTTTGCATGTAGCTTCCCAGTTTTCTCAGCCCCACTTTCTGAACAAATTTTCTTTGTTCCTTTGTACCTTCTTTGCTCCTTTGTCAAAAATTAGGTGTCCATAAACTTGTGGGTTTATATCTGGGTTTTCTATTCGAATCCACTGGTCTGTATATCTATTCTTATTCCAGTACCATGCAGTTTTGATTATTATGGCTTTGTAGTACAGCTTGAAGTTTGGGATTGTCATACCTCCATTTTGATTTTTCTTAGACATGAGGGTTTTGGCTATTCGAGGTCTTTTGTTGTTCCATATGAATCTCATCAACATTTTTTCTATTTCTTTGAAGAATGTCATTGAGATTTTTATTGAGATGGCATTAAATCTTTACATTGCTTTTGGCAGGATGGCCATTTTGATGATGTTAATTCTCCCGATCCATGAGCAGGGCATGTCTTTCCATTTCATGGTGTCGTCTTGTATTTCTTTTAACAGTGTTTTGTAATTTTCTTTGTAGAGGTCTTTTACCTCCTTTGTTAGGTTGACTCCCAGGTATTTGATTCTTTTTGTTTTAATTGAAAAGGGGATTTTTTTTTATCTCTGCTTCTTCTGATTGGTTGTTTGTGTATAGGAAAGCCTCTGACTTTTGTGTGTTGATTTTATAACCTGCTACCTTGCTAAACTGGTGGATGGTTTTGATTAGTTCCTCTGTGGAGCTTTTTTCCATATAAATTAACATATCATCTGCAAATAAGGATAGTTTTACTTCTTCTTTCCCTATTGGGATTCCTTGTATGGTTATTGGCTATTTTTAATTCTTATTTTTTGCAATGGTTGTTTATATCTGCTCCCTAATTTTCTATTGCTTTTTAAAATTTTCTTATAATCTGGACATAACCCTTTATTTCTTGTCTTGCCCTCTTCAACTCCAATGCTTTTCATTCATGGTTTCTACAGTTAATAATTACTTATTTATCCTTTGGTCAACAAACATTTAAAAGTTTGAGATCAATTTATCAATTTTTTCTTTTTGATTCTGTCATAAAGATAATTTCTTATGGTATCTTTGGTTTCATTTTTCATATTAAATATACAATCTATCTAGATTTTTTCTTTTTTATTGTAATGTAGGAACAAAGATTACAGTCTACTGAACTAAACTCAGTTCTCAAGAAATGATTTCCATACAGACACAGACACACAGACACACAGACACTGACTTTTGTTTTAATAAATTTGACTTATTATTTTTAAAGATTTATTTATTTATGTTTACAGAGGTGGGGCACAGACCAGAGGTGTAGGGGATGAGAGGATTCACTAGAGACAGAATGAGGAGCAGAACAGGCCAATCTACTGAAATACACTGCTGAGGGGAGCAGTGGGGGAATTAGGAGTGGTCTGGCCTGCCTTGTGGGTCAACTCCCTGGCTGGGGATCAAACTCTTGCTGTAGTGCCTTCTGAGAGCTTCATAATATGGTGTTTTAACCCATTGTGCCACGAGGGAGAGCCCTAAATTTGACTTATTTAAAAATTTTTGCATCAATGCCATTCATTTTCACATAAATTTGCATATAAAGTCTATAAAAGTAACTTGGCATTTGCCATTTGTGATCACTATATAAACATTAGCTTTAAGGGGTTTTTGTTTGTTTGTTTAATAATGGTACAGTAAATTTTTGATATTGACATTATCCATTTAATTTACTAAAATCATTTATTATTTCTAGTAAGTTACATAGACATACTCCCCCCCCATACAGATAATGATACTCTCAGCAAATAATGACAGCTGTATTTTTCCCTTTCCAGTTATTTTACCTTTTTATGACTTTTCATGCCTGATAGTTTGGGATAGAACTTTTAGTACTATATTAGGTAGAAATGCAGAGGTGGGCATACTTGTGTCATTTATGAAGTAAACAAAAGTTTTCAATAATTTGTTACTATGTTTGCTGTAGTTTTTTTTAATTCTGAAAAATATTCTCTTATATTTCTCTTTTTCTGCCTTCATCTATATTAGATGTTTTAATTACTTCATTTTTATTTCTATTATCCTTTTATGCATTCTTTTTTAAAATTTATTTATGCATACAGAAGTGGGGTACAGGCCCCAGAGGTTCAGGGGTAGTGAGAGGATTCACCATAGTCAGAGTGGGGAGCAGAATAGGCAGATTGACGAAGTACACTGCTGAGGGGATCAGCAGGTGGACAGGAGAAGTCTGCTGCACCATGTGGGTCACCTCCAGGGCAGGGATGGAACTTTACCCAAGTGGTGGCAGCCAGCTTCCTAGTGTTGCACTTTAACCTGCTGTGCCCCAGGAAGGCCCTTAGTTATTCATTCTTTCATTAATATCTTTGTTGATTTTCTGTAGTTGATAATAGACATTATTAACTTGTTGAGTAGCACTGCTTCTAGATAATACTAGGACTTGTGTAACATTCCATTTACCAATTCCCACTCTTCTTTTAGAATTATACCTTTCAGTTATGCTCTAGTTACAGACTACATTGCTGTCTGGTTTTTACATTTAACATTTATTTATTTTTGTTTTTACTGGGATCATTTTCTCTCTGATGAAATTCTTTAATGGCTCTTTTACTATTTTACAATTCTATACTTTTTAAAAATATGTGGAAGTATGTATGTTTCACCATCACTGTTGAAATAGTTTTTTTATTTTTTAAATGTTTTATTATTTTTAATTTTTTTATAATAGTTTAATTTTACATCATTTTGTACATTTTTTCCCATCTCAATTGAAATACAGTTTTACTGAGTATCAAATTCTGGTTGGAAACTACTTTTTCCCCAGCACTTTTAAGATGGTTTCCATAGTCTTCCATTGAGTAGATAGCTGGCCAGTTTACTGCTCAGGTTTGGTGACTTTTTTCTATTTCCTAGCTGCTTTGGACATTTATTTTTGGTTTTGACTTTCAACCTTATTTCAGCTTTATTGCAATGTTCTCAGTTTTAGTTTTGCTTTATTTTTTTGTTTTATCTTTCAGATTTTATATGTGTCTAAATGTGTTTAATCAATATTAGGAAACTTCAGCAGTCTGCATTCAAAATTGCTTCTGCCTAATTTTTTCTTCATTTTTCTTTACTTATAATTATATATACAAATATATGTATAGTTTTGTACATATATACAATTTTATAATATATATAATCTTTTCACCATACTTCATAGTTTTATATCTTCTATGCTCTTCTTTGTTTTTAAACATATTTGGTCTACTTACTACACATTTGATGTTTTATTCATTCTGACTAGTTCTCTACTTCAGCAATTTTCTCTTAGTTCAATCTAGTATTAATAGCATTTGTATCTTAACTTCAATTATGACATTGTTTAGTTTTAGCTTTGTAATCTTTCTTTTGAAATAGATCATAATTTCTGGAGAAATTATTACTAATTTCAAACACTAATCAAAGTTTATCTGCCATCTGTATAATTACTATAATGATTGGATCACCTCTGAATTTCATTTTTTCTACACTTCTCTTGCTTAATAATCCTAATAATTTTGTATTGAGTTCTAAAAGTACATAACAAAAGCTTTAGTTATTCTAGACATACATATATTAACCTCTAGAGATGAATAAAGGACTTTCAGATATCTAGTTCAGATATCTGAAATATTATGGAAGTAGGTCTTCTTGGAAAAACTTGAGTTGAAATACATAGTTTATTTTTATTCTTTTTTTAAAAACAAAGATTTCTGTATTGCAATTCTGGGCATTTTTATTTTTCTCTCTACCTTTTATCCTCTCTTTTGTTTTTTAGTTTCATCTAAAGTTAGTAATGATAAATAAGAATGTGGATTTTGTATTTACTTTAAAAAATTGACTTTTTCTCACCAATGAATCTTAAGAACTAAGCTTATTACAGTTTATTACTATTTAATTTGCAGTAATTAAGGAAGAACATTTTTTTTGGAAGAACATTTTTATCCTGCATGCTGGTTTATATTATAAGAATATTCACCCTTGCTTTCTCCACTCATTTGACCTAATATTTTAAAACTGAATATGACCTAAGAGATTATTTCTCTCAATTGAATGATGAATAATCTAGGCCTAGAAATAAGAAAAGTTGCCTAAAAGTATGTGGATATTAAAGTGAAAATATAGGATAGATCCAAAAGTTCTAAAATTTAATTCCTTTATTTCTTTACTACTAAGTGAGTTCACTTGGCATTAATGAAGGTAATGGGATTGTAGGTAAAAGCAGTATTTAATATGCTTTCCTTCTATGGTACTTTTATATTTCTCCCAGACTTCCTCTCCATAATGAACACATAATATTAATATTTTAGCATAATATTGTATACAGAATTACCATATGCACACAATGTACTTAGAATAAATTATTTTCTATATATTAATATAATAAATACTTTATGTAGCTGAACAAATTGTTTAAAAAATATTTATGTATGCATACAAGAGCTGGAGTATAGGATGGAGGTGTAGGGGCTGAGAGGATTCACCAGAAACAGAGTGGGAGGAAAACAGGAGGATTGACTGAAATACACTGCTGAGGGGAGCAGTGGGTGAGAGAGGAGAGGACTGCTGTGCCATTTGGGTCACCTCCCTGCCTGGAACCACCGGGTTTGGACTCATGCTGCAAAGCTACAGAATCTTTTTTTTTTTTTTAAGATTTATTTATTTATGCTTACAGAGCTGGGGTACAGGCCAGAGGTGCAGGGACAGCAAGAGACTTCACCAGAGACCGAGTGGGGAGCAAAACTGGCCAAGTGATGAAGTGCTCTGCTGAAGGAAGCAGAGGGCAGGCCAGGAGAGGTCTGCTGGGCCATGTGGGTCACCTTCAGGGCAGGGATTGAGCTCGTGCTGAAATGGCTTTAACTTCTTAGTGCTGAGCTTTAACCTGCTGCACCACCAGGGAGAGCCAGCTGCAGAATCTTTTAAAAAATTCTTCAACTCCATCTATTACTTTTTTTTGCAAAGTGGTAGATCTATGTAATGTTATCATTTGAGAGAGAAATAATTGTTTTTAATATTTTATTCTGGAGTTTTTTTTAGGAAAAACAGAAAACTAGCCTCCAATGTTAAATTAAGATTTCTAATGTTACATCTTCCAGAATGCTTCCGAGTAAATTAAGGAGAGATACATCAAAATATTGTCAGGTTTCTTTAATAACTTAAATTCACTGTCAATGAAAGCAATGTATTTCTGCAATAGGGCTTAGACATAAATAAAATCTGGAAAGAAACTAGCAAGTTAGAAATTCAGTCAATAGGGCCCACTCTGGTGGTGCATTGGGTTAAAGCACAGCACTATGAAGCTATTACAGCCACTGTAGCACAGTTTGATCCCCAGCCAGGGAGCTGACCTGAGCTCATGGTATAGCAGACCTCTCCTGACCTGTCAGCAGTATACTTCGTAGATCTGCCTGTTTTGTTCCCCACTCTGTGTTTCATGAATCCTCTCACCACCTGGCCCACACCTTTGACCTGTACCTCAGTTCTGTATGCGTAAAAAAATAAATCATTTAAAAATTTGAAAATTAAAAAGAAATTCAGCCAATAAAATAAGTTAAAATAGTAGACTGTGAGAATGGCTTGGAAAAAACATTTAAAGAATTTTCTGTACTTATTGAAATGCTTATGGAATTGAGACTACAGAGCCTATAATTGTTGAGGAAGTAACCGCTCCCCAAGTCAAGCATTGAAAGACAAATGGACATAATTTTAAAACAATAAAACTAACAGATGTGAAGACAAGTCAAATGTCAAAAATCTTGTTTTCTCCTACAATAGATACGTATTTATATGAATGAAAGTTAACAAATGGAAAGGAACCTGAGATTGTTGATAGCATTTTCTTCATTCAGTATATCCTGAAAACATTTTCTAAATTTCTGTGCATATATTGTTAATACCAAAATATAATTTAGGATTTTAAATAATATTTACTATAAAAATAAGCACTTTAGTATAGTCAAAATATCACACAAATCATGTTCCTGTAAAAGAAGGTGAACCAACCTAAAGTGATATTTTAACACATTTATCATCATTTTCACTTTCTTTTTTAACACTGTATATTAAAGTGTTTATAAGTTATCATTATCTGAAACTAATAGGTAAGTAGTTTTGAAAGTTGAATAATACTTAAGTTCTTTAGCATTTGGATGATGTGAATGGTGGTGGAAAATTACGTTAGAGATAGTAAGAATCTTTTAGATCAACTTTAAATTCTGCATATAAAAATGAGTTACAGAGGTAGCATTGAAACATCCCATCAAAATAATAAAGGAAAAAATTTAGTACAATGTATTTATATATGGAAATAAATGAAAAATTAAAGCTTTTAAAGTTCAGGACAATATAAAGCACCTGGGGAGAATAGATTAATACAAATCGCTGTAATAAATATTGGTGTGTCAAAATTCTAGTAGTGATTTTGCAATACTTTAATGCAAGCTGATATATTTCACTTAAAATTTAATGATATATATTGGTATAATGATTAGAAGGAAAATAAGGAATACACGCATCATTGAAATTGGGAAATATTTAACGAATGTTAAGGTAAGTAAAGCATGACGAAGTAAAAACTCACCTTTCATCCACATGATGGCGCTGGAAACCGAAACTTTGTGGGTTCTTTTTTTTTTTTTAAACAACAAAGGAATCCAGGAGCTTGATTTTCCTTAAACAGAAAAACGGACACTCCATTTTTTACTCCACTGCTGACGCTGAAAAAGTAAGCAATAACCAGTTCAGCAAACTTGGAATTAAATTTCTTAAAACCAGTGTAATACACGTATGAAAATTGGAACGATTTTGCCATGCTATATTCCCAGAGAAGGAAATCAGGATCCTGGCGTCTGCTGCTCTCGCTTCTGTTCCTCACAGTCTGGGAGGAAGGCAGCGGTCAGGTCAGCTACTCGGTCATGGAAGAGGCCAAACACGGCACCTTCGTGGGCCGCATCGCCCAGGACCTGGGGCTGGAGCTGGCCGACCTGGTGCCCCGCCTGTTCCGGGTGGCGTCCAAAGGCCGCGGGGACCTTCTGGAGGTAAATCTGCAGAATGGCATTTTGTTTGTGAATTCTCGGATCGACCGGGAGGAGCTGTGCGGGCGGAGCGCGGAGTGTAGCCTCCACTTGGAGGTGATCGTGGACAGGCCGCTGCAGGTTTTCCACGTGGAGGTGGAGGTGAAGGACATCAATGACAATGCGCCTAGGTTCTTAAGACAAGAACAAAGATTATTTATCTTGGAGTCAAGAATGGTGGATTCCAGATTTCCGCTAGAGGGCGCATCTGACATGGATACCGGAGCAAATGCCGAGTTGAGATATATGTTAAGTCCTAGTGAACATTTTGACTTGGATGTCAAAACAAACGAAGAAGAAACAAAATTTTTAGAGCTGGTTTTGAAGAAGCCAGTAGATAGAGAAGAAACCCAAGAACATCGTTTAATACTGACTGCAATTGATGGAGGAAAACCAGAACTGACAGGTACAGTTCAATTGTTGATTAATGTGTTAGATGCAAATGATAATGCACCAGAATTCGACAAGTCAATTTATAATGTCAGATTATCGGAAAATGTACAAAATGGAACATTAGTTATTAAACTGAACGCCTCAGATGCAGATGAGGGTATTAATAAGGAGGTAGTATACCTCTTCAGTAATCTTGTTCTAGATAAGGTAAAATCTAAATTTACAATCAATTCTAATAGTGGAGAAATAAGAGTTAAGGGAAAACTGGATTATGAAGATTGTAAAATATATGAAATTAATATTGATGCTGTAGATAAAAGTCCATTCCCATTAACTGGACACTGCAAAGTAATAGTGAAAATTCTGGATGAGAATGATAATACTCCAGAGATGGTCATAACCTCCCTATCTCTGCCTGTCCAAGAGGATTCTCCACTGGGCACTGTCATTGCCCTAATTAGCGTGTCCGATCTTGATTCGGGTGTCAACGGGCAGGTGACCTGCTCTCTAACACCCAACGTCCCCTTCAAG